CTAGTGGGAGCAAGACTGTGTCATTAAGGTGAGGGAAGAAACGTGGATACAGCTAAAAATTGTCCAAGGAGAAGAATGGGAGCTCAGAAAGCCTTGCCATGGTTAGTTATAGAACAGTGTCCAAAATCTTTAACTAAAGTTCATATCAAGATTAATTATTCAATTAATTACTAGACAACGTATTATTTGTTAAATGAATATTGAAAGTATCATATTATTTGTGATCAAACTTTGTGCTGTGTACATTTTCCCCTCAACAGCTGGTAAAGTCAGTGGTACCTTCTCTTCATCTCACTTTGCACCTTTGAATATTGTATCTTACTCTTGATTTCTACAAAAGTAAGGTTAATAATTGTACCATTACATTCAGCAGGAGGAGTATCTGTAAACTTGAGTTCACTAAAATGAATTTAAATTCTATACAAGTTTCAATTTAAATCTTCATCTCCTAACTCCTTCCTTATCATGCATTAGCCAGTATAAAGTAAACTCCAGGTATTTTCCACCGTTGAAGAAAATATGAATCTCTTGGTTTACAATTCAACCTGTCCCTTTATACATTTTATTTGCCATGCCTTACTCTCCTGTCATGTCAATATGTTCTGGAATATATGGCTAGGCCTGATGGGGGGGATTATTCAGGCTGGTTTAGAGCACATTGTGTGCTTGGGTTAGAGACAGAGGGAACCCCGTGCCCTGGGTTCTGTCAGCAGCACCCAGTGTTTGACAGCTGGACATGGGACAAGAGAGAAATGGGAGAAGGGTAAAAGATGGGCTACCCCCAAAAAGAAAGAAAGAGGGAGGGAGGAAGAGACAGAGGAGAGAGAAGAGAGAGAAAAACCACTGTGAAAAGATGGGGAAAAATACAAGCAAGGTGGAAAATGAAGGGCCTCCTTTTTTGGTCAGTTGTCTTTTGAGGAACAACCAGAGATCACACATTAAAAAGCATCTGATAAGAGTGTACAATTACATTTCTTCAAATACCCCATACCCTTCTCTGAAAGTAAATTTTTACCACAGTAAATTTAATATTTAAAATAGAACTGTTCCTTGGTGTTCTGTGATAGCCAAAGTGGTCTGGTTTTTATAAAAGGGTACTTTCCCATGCTCATATAACTCTAAAGTGCTTTACATTTATTAAAATGGTTGCGATACAGATCCAATTTTACAGATATAATTTTAGAATCAACTCTGTAAATATTCTGCTTAAGATAAAATGTTTTGAGAAACAAGTCAGTAAAAATAACAGTAGAGACTAGAAAGACAACCTGAATTTTGAAGGTTGCTTCTTGAAAGAAGAAATAGATAAAAATGTCTGTTCAACAGCTTACTGAATACAGTAATACCAGGGATAACCATTATTTCTTAAGCAAGAGACATCTATAATCTTTTATAATAAAGAAAATTTGCAACATGTATTGTAAAACATGAGTCAGAAGCAGTGTTTCAATGAAATTATATACCTTGAGAAAGACTTTTTTTTTTCCTACTTTCCACTGTGATTATTGGATTAGATCCTTTCCTGAAAGGAAATCAGGGACTATAATAAAGTGTCAAAATTCAATTTAACGTGTAGTGGAATAGCAGAGAGAGAGAGAGATGCATCTTGCTAGGAGCCAAGCACTGCACTAAGAGGCCAAGCTTTCCCCACAGCCTAACTCAGTGCAAGGGGAGAGCTGAATTTAGGAGTGCTGTTCAGTTCCCGAGGTGTGCTGGAGCAGCTGGAATTAATCTACAGCACAAACTGCTGGGCATTACTGTTTGGTTTTGCTTTAGCTGCAAACTCCATTTTGTATTGTCTTTCCCAACTGCCTGATAATACACTGCCTGGACAGAGAAACATTAATCACAGTGTCGAGCCAGTCTTGGAAACAAGGACCGAAACCTTAATTTACAGGCAAGGAAAAGAAAAATAAGTGGATGAGGGGTGGGAAAGGAAATGCAGCCTGCACTGAGATGATATTCTGTGTATGACCTAACTCTGTCCTCAGTGCAATTTTAGCTTATTGTTGGGTTTGTATACATTCCTGCAAAAATTCTTACCTCACTGGATAACCTTGTACTTTTGCAGTATTCCAGCTGGACTGTGGCTCTTAGGGAACAGACTTCATGTTTGTAGCATTAGTACATCAAGTACTTGTAAAATTCAGGTTCAGAACATGCCAAAGATCTGTAAGAAACAGTTTGACAAAATGTTTGATTTAAACTACAGTTTTAATGAAAAATTAAATGTTCAAAGGCTCAAAGTAAACTTTCCTCTATCCAAGTGTAGGATAGAGCTTTGAGTCAAAATCCAGTCAAAATTCTTCTTTCCAGTCTCAGATGCTCACAGCCAATACAAGAGTTTTAGCAATTGTGCTGGTCCCACTTTTTTTCCTCCCACCCCCTTTAATAAAAAAAAAAAAAGTAAATGAAAGTTAAAAAAAAAAGAAAGAAAAATGCCTTGGCCTAATTACCATATGAAACATTTTTTCTGAAACTCAATACCAAACAAAAGAACAGTTTTCTGAGCAATTTAATGCTGAGCATACCAGATAGCAACTGAATTGTCTCTTGAGCTGTTATCTGAGAGGTACATCATGAAAAAAAAATAATTATAGGCTATATAATAATTACCAGTAGTCATCATAGCCTGGTTGTTTTAGCAAGAATTGAATCTTATTTTTTTTCTGGTTTGTTTCTAAATGCAATGGAAATGTATTACTATACAGCATCACTTATTAACACTGTTTTAATTAACCTCTAACAACAACCTGAAAATTACAGGTGTATACACCTCTTTAATGAAGCATTTTGTTTTCTATTTAGTGCAATTCCTTCACACGTTACAAAACTACAATATGAGGCTGAACAAAGTGTCAGCATGTTTCTCAACACTTTAATTGGAATAAAATACAGTCATATATACAAATGTCTGTGAGTTCAACTGAAACTTTGCCACATAACTCACGTAGTAACTGAGGAAAAAAAAAGTTTAATTACTTTATTTTCCATTCATTGTTTCCCAGTTTTATCAGTTGGGGGGGTTATGACCTTCATGTGCTTTCTGAAAACTACAGTGAAAGGAGCTAAGCAAACTTTTACTTAAACATTACACATTTTTGCTTAACTTACATCTTTTACTTAAACAGCTCCAAGACTAATTATGGACTGCTTATGTGAAAAAATGCATATGAAAAGCAAATGTTAAATGTCAAAGTATGTAAAAAATCAAGATGGTAGCACAAGTTTGGGCTGTTCTGTCTCATGAATGTTTTTTTGACAAGACAAGTCATTACCAAGGGCCAGAAAAATCCGCACATCTATGACTTTCCTCCCAACAACCATTTTGAGGGAGAATCAACTTAATACATTACATAGAGGTGCATATTTCCACAACAGAAGTCTTTATAGACCCTGTCACACCTAATACTTCCCTCCTGTTAGCAAACATATGCCATATGTCTGCAAACAACTCACTGGTTTCCTCTCTAGAACTGTTTATAATTTGTCCAATTCCCACAGTTTAGAGTTCTTTCTACTGATTAACCATCAGTATAGTATTTTATCACAAGCAATTGCTGTCAGGGACTCTTCTCTGTCTCTTTGTTTTGCTTTTGACTGTTTCTTGCAGCAGTCAACAGATCCTTATGAAATACTGACTTGGAATACTACTGAAATACATGTCCTTAAAATTCTTAGAATGCACTTAGTTTTCTGATGTATTTTTTCCCAGCACAGAACCCAAAACTGGATACAGTGCCCCAGCGGTGTTAATATTGATGTTTTATTTGGAACAGCTCCTTATCTAGTTGGACCTCTTCCGTTTATACATTCTAAGACAGAGGCATTCTTTACAGAATATCTATAAAATTATATACAATTCCATATGTATGTATACACACACGTGTTTGCTAATTGGGCTTGTTTTGACAGACATGTAGCAGGTAGCAGAGCAGCTCAGAAATTTGAGCAATGACCTCCAGCGCTACTGGTTTTGAAAAGAGGATGTTTGCCTATCCCTACTCCTCGTATAGAACATCTCTGACATGGCTTTCACGGGTCATATACTAAATTCTTCCTTCTCATGTTCACTGCATTTTTCTGTTGTAGATAGGGATCTATCATATTTTGTTGTGTTTGTTTCCCCGTACATACACTGTAACCTTTTTTCTGACAATGCCCTTTGGTTTATGTGGTTCAGAGCTTGAGAACAGATTTCTAAGCATGGAAAAAAATTATCTGAGGCCCAATTCTTGTGACGTGGTTGTAGACACTATTTTTTTTTTGGATAACACTTGTAAACCACAAGTCCTCAGCACCTTCCTTTCCTTCTCTCATGGATCAGGGGAGAGAGATGCTGCAGTACGGCAGCACTTCAGTTCTCACTACACGTGTAGAATATTTTGGAATCACCTTGTGATATTTCCAGTCTAGCTGAAGACGCTGTGGAAATCACCCAGAGTGCTGAAGGCAGCCTAGGTGTGCCCAGGGGTGCCCGTGACGCCGCTCTGGGAGCACTGCCCTGTTCGCTCCAGCCGGGCTCCCTCAGCGCTTCCCTCACCTTCACCTCCTCCTCCTCCTCCTCACGGCCAGCGCCGCGCCCGCCCTGCCCCGTCCCTGTGCTGCCTCAGCCCTTCCCGCCGCGGCGGGAACCCCGCCAGCCGCCTCCGCACGGCGAGGGAAAACAAACCCGGCTGTCAGGCGGCCTCCACCGACAGCGCGGGGGTTTCTTCCTCGGCGGGTTGTTGTGGTCACCCCGCTCCGTCCCGGCGCGGTTCGCCGCAGCCCGAGCTGAGGAGGCGCGGGGCGCCCTCCCCTCCCTTTGCGGGCTGTAGGTGTCTGTAGGGGAGGTCCCGGCGCCCCGCGCTCCCCCTCACGCAGAGAAAAGGCCGCGACCGGGCAAGTAAGCAGGAGGAAGCCCCGGACTCACCTGCGGGAGTGCCCCCCCCCGGCTCCTCCCCGGCCCGGCCCCGGCGCCCCCTCCCCCGCTGGAGGGGCGGGCAGTCCGCTCTCGGCTCCGGCGGCGAGCGCGGCTGGCGGGGCGGCGGAGAGAGTGGCACGGAGTTGGTGAGGATCTCCCTGAGGGAGAGCGAGAGACGCGGCCCGGGACGGGTGAGGAGAGCGGCGGCGGGCGGTCTGGGGGCTGAGGGGGGCACGGCGTCGCCCGGCTCTCCCCGCGGCGGCCGGGGCCGGGCACGGGGCTGTGACGGGAGCGCGGCGGGCACGGGGTCGGTGGCCGCGCGGGGCTGCCGCCCTCGGCTGTGGGGGCGGCTCCCGAGGCGCCCCGGGTCGCTGCTTCCCTCTGCTCCGTTAAACACGCGCATTCCCAAAGGCCGAGGGCGCCGGGCCCTCCCGGGGGCGAGGAGGCAGCAGCGCGGCTGTCCCCGCACGCCCGGGGAGCCGCTGGAGCAGCGCCGGGGCAGCGCTTCCCCCGGGCGCTCCTCGGGGCTGTGCTGGCGAAGCGGCGGCGGGGCCGCCCCGGGGCGGGCGGGCTGAGCGGCGGAGGGGAGAGGGCGCTGCGGGGAGAGGGGTCTCCGGTAAGACCCGAGTCTGCCTTCGTTTCTCCTGGGGGCTGTCAGGAGCGGGGTTCTCCCCCCGAGCGGCTGCCCCGGAGCCGCAGCTGGAGGTGCTGCTGCCGGCCCCGGGTTCCAGGTGGGCGGGCGCGGCCGGAGCCCCCGCGGGGCGCCAGGACCGCCTGCCCGCACGCATTCCTCCGGGGATTCCTGGCATTCCTGGGCCCAGGGCACTCTTGACTTCTTCATCTGCCTTTTATTTCGCAAATTAGCGTTTGTTTTTCTTTTTTTATTTTTTTTTTTTTTTTTTTTTTGCGAAAGGGTGTGTCCGCGTTGTGTGTGTTCCCTTCTTCATGGGAAAAGCTTAGAACGGCAGTTCTGCCATTTGTTCTTCTTCCCAATTAACTTTGCATCTGATATAATTTATATCCTTCCCATTTGATGACAACTTTATGGGGAGATCAGTGCTGCGATATAACTTTTGTGGTGAGTTTGCATGAACGTTTGCAGTTGACAGAAGAATAGTTGTTGCAGCTTTTATCTTTCTCCTGTTTTTAGCATGTAAATATTTTTTTAAAATTACTGCAGTGTACACTGAATAATTGTCAAAATAGAAATAGTAGAAACCTATTCTTGAAAGTTGTTCTATTTTTCTGAACATCTACACTATGTTTAACTTGCTTGGACTCATAAAAGTGAATCCTGTAGGTGAATCAGAAAGCCCCTGGAATATCCTGATTTGTGGCACATCCGTGGGAATTTGATGGATTTGGTGTCTGAGGCTTATGCTGACAACTGTCACATGTCTCATAGTTATAAATCTCTTTCATAGCTGGCTTTAACAGAACTTTAAAACCTGTATAAAAATATAATTAAAATGGCAAAACCAAACCACTCTTTACTTTTTAAAGGTGCTTTGTAAGAACTTGTTTGACTTGCAATTATATTTTCTAGAAGTGTCAGTTGTTGAATTGTCTCGTTTTTTTTCTCATGTTAGACCCAGAATAAAACTGCTTATGCTCACAGTGTGTACTAAGCCAGATGTGGTTACTGCTGATTAATGTAAAAGCGTACCAAGTTGCTGTAAGCTTTTTTTTTTTAAAATAATTATAGTGTTAGTTTGAATTTGGGTCCTTTCTTTTGGAAAAATATTATAAATAGGAATGAAAGTTTTTCATACAGTGCTGAAGCATACCATTAACAGCAGCATGTAATAAGCAGCATGTTTTACGAAGGAGATGAAGTTTGTCATGTAATGAAAGGCAATTACACTGCTTTTTAATGTGTGCTATTCTTTTTGAGACACAGCTACACTTTTTAAACAGAAAACTCTGTAAAATAAGAAAGCAATGCTTCAAATTTTTATTAAAATTTTCTTAGGTTATTAAGATAATCTTTCATGTAAGAGGAGGTAATTGTTAGTAGCAGATAGTTTTCCAGTTTAATAGTCATGGGTTTTTTTATAATTAATCTGAGATAAAAAATGCATTGCTTCAAATGAAGTATGCTATGAAGGAACTGATATTTTTATGTGTATGTATTTACAATTTAGAGGTGTTTCTGAAATATGTTAATCATAGGAAAAGTATTCCTAGTTGGTTTACATACACCTTGAGTTGCAGCTGACATTAACTGTTTCTAAATCCCACTACAATGCAAATACACACTAGAAGGGATTATTTTAGCAAACATAACTAGTGTTAGGACAGTAATGAAAAGCCAGGCCTTATCATTGCTAACCTCTTTGGTTACAGAATTTGCAGGAACATTCTAAAGAGCCTATCTGCTCCAGCAGTGTATCACACAACTGGCTTGGGGTTTTTTCATTCTCAGTATCTGACTTAGTTGCATTTTGCTTTTAAATCTAATGAATGGGATGATTGCTTAGGCTGCCTGAACTGCCTCCAAGTAAACCAGCTGATTTTAATTTCTGTTAATTGCATCATTGGATCTCCCTGTCAGTAGTAAAATGTCTCAAAATGCACTTAGGTTGCCCTGGGAAGGTACAGGTAGGGGATGTGGAATTTAATTCGCTGCAAAAATACACAGGTATATCCTGTGTAAGAAGGATGACAAAGGTGCAGGAAAGAATTGGTGACAGTTCCTTCTTCTGGTCTACATTGTGTAATAGGAAGTTGATCTTTCTGGGAGTATTGGTGAAACTGGTTTGTCTGGGTTCTGCAGTGTCATCTGAAATGTGTAGCTGAAATGGCATGACCTCAAATGTGAATTTTTAAATCTTTTGTCATGGAGCAATTCAGGATGAACATGTGTGCAAGGAGTTATTCAGCCTGGACCATAGCGGGCAGGTTATTATTTAAAAATAGCTACTTAGGTACTTTGAGGCCAAATAATTCTGCCAATGTCAGAAATAAAAAGTAGACCATCCCAGTTTCATTCTGCAGTCTGCTGTTTTACCATTTGTGCTTTTTGAAGTAATAGTGGTGATAATGTCACTATTATATGGCCTTTCTATTATGGAGGTAACCTGAAAATGTGCATATTAATATCAAGCACATGACTCTGATTATGCAAAGCAATGTTCAGCCTGTGGCAGCATCCACCTGTGCTGTTAGAAGGGAACCGGCAAGAGTCTGGTCAGGATCAGTGATACAAAGAGATTTCTGAGAAATGGCAATGAAGAATAAAATAATGGGGCATTTTTTACACTTCTGCGCCCTCTGAGTGCAACTCTGAATGTCAGCAGAAATGTTGCATCTACCTGCTGCCTACTGCTCATGTGTTCAGATAAAGCAGGCTAAAGAGATTTGTGTTTATTCTTTCTTCTGTCTGTCTCCCTTCTCCTTCCTTTTTTAGTGGTAGGAAGAGGTTATCATCTACCCCATCAGTTCAGAGAGACCATTCAGAGCCAGGCTTTGCTAAGAATTACCTATTTACAGTATCGAGATTCACGACTGACTCGAATGACCAGGATGAAGTGAAAATGTTAGAATTCCTCCTGTTTTGTTGCCGGGTCTCAACAAACTGCATTCTGAGGAAGATGGTACAGACTTCATGCGTCCTGAACTTAGGTTTGGCAGTTTTACAACTTTTTTAAAAATGTTGTGTTGGTAGGATGTGCAAAAACGCCAAAAAGGGTTGTTTTTTTTTTTTGCTATTTCTATTCTTAATTGGCAGAATGGAGAATCTGCCCACTGAGAACACTCCATTACCAGGTTATTGTGTGAGGGAAAGTGCTTTACGTGTCCATGGAATGTTTATTCCAGGCATGTTTATCTGGAAACATTAACACATTTCAGAAACTGCTTTGACCTTGACTCTCTGAGTGGTGTTAGATTAAAATGGTAATACATTTCAGTATGGCCAAGTGTGAAAATTTAATGTTTAAACCTGAGAAATGAAAATGTTAGGAATGTATGTACTGAAGGTTTGGTGGAGTGGTAGTCATGGAGTCACCACTGTTTGGGATTAGAGTGCAGTGTATTTGTTGTGGTCTTGTAGCATCTTTGCCAACAGAGCTGGCAGCCTCCTTGAAGGAGTTTATCCAAATGTAGGCTTATAACCTTCCATTTTTTGTGAAATGGAGTGGATGACAAAATCCATAGCCAAACATGTGAATGCCTCTAAATTTTTAGGCACATTAACTGTTTTAAATTAAATTGGTTCGTCTTTTGTGTTTATGAGATTCGTTAACCAGGTTGACAGTATGAGATTTAAAATCAGTGTTCTATAAGAACCTTTTCAAGTTCTACTTGATTTTGGTAAAGACAGAGAGCGATGAGGAATAAATACGATTGGAGAAACATCTCAGGAAGCACTTAGACTTCCGAGAAACATCAGGGAGATTGGTAAGACTGGGAGATGCCTCAATTATTACCACAATGGCCCTTTTTTGTGAGGGTCCCCAGGCGTGCAAGAGTCATTACCATTCAAATAGCTACGTGACTCTCTGAGTCTGAGCATGACAAGATTTTTACTCCAGGCATTTGCAGCACTTCATAATACTTTAGTTGCATGTACATTACACACACTGTTTAAAAGGAGCCAAAATGTGGTTGTGGAAACTAAATACAGTATGAAAAGGAGATGCATTGTCTGAGCTGCCCATGCTTACATATTTACATATGTGCTTATGTATTTCTGTGCTTGTGTACATAAACTCTCAGAGACACTTGCAGAAGCCTGATAAGTATTTACCAGCCATTAGGAATGTTTTAACCCCATTTTAAATTCTATTGAAAGATCTCTGAGAGCTGCTGAAGTTTATTAGAATGGCAGATGTATTTCAGGTACATAAACACAGGTAGAAGTGGGTAGTTATTTGTGTTCTGTTTAATCATAAAGCATAATGTGGAAGTGGTGGGGAAAATTTAAGCTTTTACAGAGAGATGGGGAATGTTTTCAGTGATGTGAGTTAAGCTTAAAATATTTTGAGGCCTTGTTGAAATTGGTAGTGGGTTGGGGTATCCCTCATAGGCTCATTTGCCCACCATTAGCTGTTATACTCAGGGAGCAAATGTTTGGCAGTAGCAGCCTTTCTTTAGAAGAACAATGGCATGTAATGTTACATTATAATTCCACAAACACTTCAAGCTTCATAAAGAAGCAGCCCTACCCCTCTCATTTCCCCCCAGTAATTAAGGCTATTCCAGTGTGAAGGTGAGAAGTGGGAGCTGGTTAAACCTGTGCTCAGTGTGCGGGCAGGGCCCACACCAGGCAACACCGACCTCAGAGGCTTTGTAAGCCCTTCCGAGTGCTGCAGCTCGTGGCGCTGCAGTGCAGCACACTGGGAATCTCCTTTCCTCTGGAGTTTTGCAGCCTCTCCTCTCCTCAGCTCGTGTCTCAGACAGAGTGTGATGATATCATCTTGTCTGCTGGTGCCTGGGCTCAGGGCCTGCAGTCCTGGCTGCATATTTAAGTTGGAAAACGCATGGTTGAGTTAGTTGAAAGAAACCAGATGGGTGTGAAGCCAAGTGTTTAAAGAATACAATGTAATTAAGACAAAGTTTAACAATGGAAAAGTGGGAGGCATAACTAGCTTGAATACACATGAAGCTGTGGCCTTGTGTTGGCTGTGTAAATATGACTCCTGCAGCCTCTTTTACATGTCGTTTTTGTACTCGAATACTGGCATCTCCATAGGGATTAACCGGGTTCTGTGTCTCTTCATATAGGTGAGACCTTGGTCTTTGCAAGCAGTTGAGCTCATACAGTTCCTCATTAATTTTATTTAGGAATAACTTATGCATATATGATCAAGGTTATGATGATTGCATCTGTCGTGTTGCTGTAACTGTAATTCCTGTAGACAAGATTATATTCTGGGGTGAGAATAGTGAGAAGAAAGTCCAATGAAATGCCACATTTAAGGTGGAGGAATAATTTTGGGGGTGAGGAACCTTTTATTATTTATTGATCTGTTTATGTTAGATAGTATTACAAGTAAATTTGTGGTTTTGAAGCACTTGCAAAACTTTTTAACAAAGGTTGCCCTAACTCTGTCTTCATTTCTTTGAGAAGGGCTT